CTTTATATAAAGATATTCATGTCTTCGATAACAATTATGTGCTTTTACTTTTAATTATTTCTTTCTGTTAGGTTATACATTATGAAAGCAATTTTAATGAGTTCCTTAGAGAGGGAATGTTGTCGAAATCAGGATTATGGATGTACAACCTAATTGCTAATTATGTTATTTTGAATGAATAACCAAAATTTGATTCTAAACTTTTTCTGTATTTTTAGTGCAATATATTAGATATAAAAACTTCCTTATCACATCATGTATATAATTTTCTGAATGAAACTGGGATAGATTATCAGATATATAACATCATTTATGTCTGTTTGTTGTATGTGTTGACTGTAAGTAATTTTATTGTATTTATGTTTTTTGTTTTTTACTAAAATGATCTTTTTATATTTTTACATTTTCTTTATCATAGTTTTGACATAGAGTTAATAATAAGAAAAAATCATTGATGTTTTATTAGCTTTGCAATAAAGCAGTGTCAGAAAAAAGTATCGTTCCCCATTGCACCAACTAATATGTAAAATCAACAAAGTGCTGTATAATAAGTAGACAAGCCATTTAGCACCTAATCCTACGTATGTAGGTTTTGCGATACAGTAACATTATGATGTATGTGCCGGAGTTATTAGAATTTGTAAAACACAAGTTTTTTTATCTGTATGTGAAATGAAATAAGTTATATGATAATATCAAGTGGCAACACATGTGCAGTCAAAAAAAATTGAATAAAAAGAGAGAAAGCACAAAAAAGTAATCAACAACCTAGAGATGGTGCTGACAGACTTCACATTTTTGTTGAAGTTTATATTTCCTACAGTTGTATAGAGGAAAGGAAGATATGGATATATGTTGAAGTTCAAGAGAACAGCATGTATAAAGATGATCTGATAGTTCATTTCTGCCCTATTTGTAATACAAGTAAATATATAGGCTTAGATTTTTCCTAGTTTCCATTTTCAGTAATTTCATGCTTATCCCTCATGGGAAATGAGAGGAAACGATACTTTTTTATTCAGACTGTACCTTGATAAACATTGTCTTTAAAGCTAAAAGCAAGTTTTTATACATGTCTCAGATTTGTAATTGATGTGAAGTGAATTGTAAAGTAATTGAAATGTCTGTCTTAAATACCTGAATTTTCCACTCATTAAAAAAACTAATGATGATAATAATAATGGAAATAGAACAAGATGAAATCTGGATTCATCAGATTCCAATGAAGTACATATTGAAATAAGACATGTGATTTATATTTTCATCTCAATTTACTTGATTTCTGTGTTAAAAGGATTAATGTTTTTTTTCTTTTCTTCTCTTTTCTTTTTTCTTTTTCTTTTTCTTTTTGTCCCTCTAATTTTATTCCCATTCTGGCGACAGCAGTAAGTTGTAAGTATGTGTGATCATTTTGATAAGATAACTAAAAGAGATGTGATTTTATTATGTGTTACATGTGATTTTTCAGTAAATCAATTATGATTTGTCTTCCAAGCTGTTGACCAACAAGGAAACACAAGATGGTTAGTATGACAGTGTATTAGATTTTGTACGCTTTGTACACGGTAGTTTGATTAGCTTTCATTTCTTATCTTTGCAGTTTCTTCCATCAAATGGGCTTTGCAGCATTTCTTCTGTTAAAATGGCTTTGGTCTCTCTCAGTTACCCTCTGTTATTTCAGCTTTGTTGTATAATCTTTCTGGTATATTTCTGATTTGTTGTGGTACTTGACCTTTACAGGAGCTTAAGTGTATATGTTTATTTATTGCTGTTTTTATATCTTATCTTTATTTTGGTTTTGTTCATTGCCAGGAATTATTTTCTTCCACAATTCTGAAAGTAGTAGTTGACTTTATGTTAAATTTATAAACATGATGTTAACTACTGACTATGAATCCTTTCCAGTATTTAGCCTTTCACCGCAGCTAGGTAATCCTTTGTTTTAGATACCCTCCCATGCCCACTAGAAAAAGAAAAAATCTTGCATTGTCATGAACTCTCCTTAGCAGATGTCTAAGTATAAGAAATTGAAAAAGAAAGGCTTGAGATATCACATATATATATATAGATATAGATATAGATATAGATATATGATTTTCTATTGTGGTAGACTTTATGAGCTGCACTCTATGCAAAAAAAAAAAATTCCCCACATGATGTTACATAATTGAAGAAATTGTATATTTGCAATCTTAGTGATACAATTACATGAAGAATTATTCAAAAACAAAAATACAAGTAGAGAATTATTAATTTCATAATATTTTCTAGATAGAGTGCCACCAACTGAATAACAAAATGACTGCAATATTAAAAACCACAAACTTGAACAGAAAATACAATAATCTCAGTTTACAAGGATTTGTAATACTATACATAATTACAAAAGTAGCTTCTGTCATTCTTTTCTTTAAAATTGGTGAAGGGCTCTGGCTTTGTTCTTTATCAGTGGTTCTAGAATGCTCTTCAGTTTTGTTCTTTCATGTACAAAAGCAAATAGCATTGCAAGTAATGATTAACACATACCTGAAAACAAGCACACTGTAGACACATAATAATGTACACACATTTGTGCACACGCACACAACGCACACACACGCACACAAACACCCACACACACCCACACCCATACACACACACGTGCACACACACATACGTACGCATACACACACATACACACACATGCACACACACACATGCACACACACACACAGCACATGCACACACATGCACATGCACACACACGCACATGCACACACACACACACACACACACACACACACACACACACACACACACACACACACACACACACACACACACACACACACACACACACACACACACACACCTTTGCACACTCACGCACATATAATGATGATGGTAATGATACTAAAAAGATAGTAATTATTGCAATGATTCAAATATTTTATGAAGAAGAAAAATTTCATTCAAGAAAAATAGTTACTTAGCAACTATTTGAGCTGATAAACATCACTTATCTTTGAAATATTTTGAAGAAAAGATATTGCCTCTTTTACATCTAAACTTTTACCACTACAGACATTGATGTATGATTGAATCCTCTTATCTTGCAGGTAGCGCCAGTGGGAACATAAGTGTCTCACCATCACTGGTAGCACCACCACCTCCCCCTCCAAATCCACAACCCCTTCTACTCCAAATGTCCCCCAGTCACCAGCAGGCCCTCCCCCTCCCCCCCCCCACCTCCACCTCCACCTCCTCCTCCACCAGTGGCCTCGTTCCCAAGCACAGCCACGCCAGCTCCTCCAAATGAGAGCCAAGAGCGAGCTGCCTTACTCTCGTCCATCAATTCGTTCAAGAAAAACAAACTGAAGAAGTCCACAACCAACGACCGCAGTGCTCCCGTTTTGTAAGGGAGTTTAAGTTTGGGGGTATTGTTGCATTCAGGAGCCCAAAAGTGGGGTTTATGTTTGGTATTTCAGAGTGCTACATAGTGAGATATGAAACGGAGAGATTGATATCATGGAAATCTACATTAATAGATCAATGGGACTTGAGCGGAGGCTTGATTTTCGTCTATATGTGATCAGAAGTGTTGTATTTTGATATTAAAAGATGATATATATGTATGTATGTATGTAAAAATATATATATTATGATTATTTTGTCATGAACTAAATCAGTTTCACATAGTTTTTATGTTCAGGTAATTTACCTGGTATTACTAAAGTCATTCCCCTCTTTGTTTTACTTTTGTTATATCTTTCATGATTTCTTTTTTACATTGTAAAGCTTTATAACAAGATCTGATTTAGTACCACAAGCTCAAAAGTTGTGCTGTCTGAAATTGAATGGTTGTGTTAGCTCAATAAGAATTTTTACTTCTTATCTAGTCAGTAGAAAAAAAATACTGGTCAAAACTTTCTGTTGTTTTGATTTTGTTGTGTAACAAAGTCAGAGTGTATTCCAGAAGGGAATATAGAAATTATGAATTATAGAAGGTGCAAAGCATTTATGACAATTTGTATTACTTTTATCAAAGAAACCAATATGTTAGTTTACTATTATATACTTAATTAATTGTTGTTAAAAACAATTGAAGCAAAACTTTTAACCCAGGCTGAAGGTAATTTGGTTAGAATTAGAATACTCGTGATCATAGTTTATTGAACATTTCAGAAATCTTGTAAATTTTTCACTTTCTGTTAATTTACATGTTGATTTAAAAGGGACTGATTGTCATTGGCATATTACACAGATCACTCTTTGAGCAATGCATTTCTAAGAATAGCATGCATTTGATACAATTGCAGATTATTTGCAAATATATGTAATGAAGAACCTTTTGTGTTTATTTTGTATCATTTTGTATTTAGTGTCTATTATAGTATAATCATGTTAAATGCAAGTATAGTGTAGAATCTTTCATTGTAAAAAGTACTTCCTGCAAAAGGAGAAAAAAATTCTCTCTAAATACAGGAGAAAAGCTAGATCACAGTAGCAACTCAAGGAAGTCATGATGTCAGATTTTAATGACATTACAAAAGTTGCGATTCTCTTTTTGGAAAAAAAACACTTAGGGTTTATTATTAATTTTAGTCTTTTCAATTTTCAAAAAGGATGGAAAATAATTATTTTAATGGGTATATTTTCATTGAACAATCATCAAAATAGCCCTGTGGATGAGAAGAGTGGGTGATTATGTTTATGCACGAATAATTCTAATGTGGAATTGCTCGCAGTGGGAGTCAAGCCAAAGGCCTGTATTATTTACTCAGCTGGAAGGAATTAAGTATACCTACTTTTTTATTACCTCCATGGACTCAATAAATGAATGAAAGGTATTTTATTTAATGTGTAGGATACCAGGCCGGGCTATTTTTGGAATAGCACATGATCATGTTTATATTTTGTACAATATTTAACAGTGTTAAAGTTTCAGTAGCTTTTCAGGCATTTTTGACTTCATAAAGTCTTGTTGGCCTGGTATCCTACACATTAAATAAAATACCTTTCATTCATTCATTGAGTGCATGGAGGTATCAATAAAAGTAGGTTTACTTATTCCTTCATGCTGAATAAAAAATATAGGCTTTTGACTTGACTCTCATTTGGAAATCATTCATACATAAACATAATCGCACACTCTTCTCATCCATAGGGCTATTTTGATGATTGTTCAATGAAAATATAACCATTAAAGCCATTACTTTCCATCATTTTTGAAAATTGAGAAGACCAAAATGAGTAACAAACCCTATATGCCTTTTCCAAAAACAGAATCGCACCTTTTGTGACATCATCAAATTCTGACATCATAACCTCCTCGAGTTGCTACTGATCTAGCCCTTCCCCTAAATACAGGGCACACCCCTACAATACAGCTCACGCGTCTGCAAACTGCTCGGTGCGCTATCTATCCTTCGACCGTTAAGTCAGAATATGCTACGTGATAAGAAGTGTTTCCTGAAACTTTGTTTTCTATTGAAACACACGTCTGTTATTCATGTTTTCTGAAACTTTGTTTTCTCATGATTACACAACTATGAGTCTCCACATGGGAAATTTCGCATTTTAAAGAATTATCCAACTAGAGATGGAAGTGTTCGAGAACCGGATTGGCAATATTTTGTAAAATTCTTCACTGACCATGAAGGTAAGAGCTTAGTGAGCACAATATAAAAGCACTATTTCTATAGTTGCCCATACGTATCGTTGAGGTTGAATTATCGCTGGTAACATATAGCTTTTGCTCTTGAACAACGATTGCCGTAGAAGCTCTGGCAACTTCCCCAGAGGATTTATGGTCAAATTATGATTCCTTAGGTTACTAGACCGAGCTGCTGAGGGAGGTGGATAATTTATTTGACTTGATAATTATCGTGACCTCAAGTAAGTGATTATATTATATAAAAAAATCTTTGTGGTGTAGTGATCAAATACTGACTCATAAATAATTTTCTTACTGGTGATAGTGCTTTTGGTATATTTGGTTCTTTCAGCAGATTGGATGTTCATTGAAAGGACATACAAATCAGTGTAATAGACTTGAATGAACCCAGAAGCACAGGACATATTTTGAAGGTTTCCCCAACTTCATTAGTTCTAAACAGGGTAAATGATGTTACAGTTAAATGTTTTTCATTACCAGAAGGTCAATTGTTGGCTTTTCAACCTTTCACTAAAGTTCAGAAGTTGAATTTTTACACAATCTAAATATCAAACAAATTCTAAGGCATTATTAGTGTCAGGGAAAATTATGTCATATGTACCTAATTGTGAGAAGTTAACTGAATGGTGGAAAGACCATCGTTGCCGGATGTACACCCTCCGAGCATTTACTAATCTCAAATTAGATATTAAGAATGAAGATGAGGCCAGGCAGAATTTTTAATTTTTTCTCTCTGAACCAAGGGCTTCTAACAAGAAGCATCCTCAAGAACTTAAAAACCCTTCAGTAGATCTCTCTGATAAAGATGTTAATTCCAGACAAATGGCTTTATTTGGTGTTAATTTTCCAGATTCTTAAAATCTTTTAGCAGATAGTTTTGAAGCCATTTTAGAAGAGGCAGACTCTGTCTAAACAAGACACATTGAAATTTTTGACTTGCTTTATGGTTATACGTAAAGGTTTGGTATCTATGGCTATTCCCATGGTTGAATCTTTATTGGAGAACGCTATTAGTACAAGAATTGAGTTTAAGAAATCGATTCCAAAGGGTCTCTGAAGCTACAAGAGCTTTATATAGATTCTATAAGTCTGCTAAACCTCGTTATTCTAATAAATCTTTTCAAATTAATAAAAACAAAAAAAAAAATCAGATCGATCTTATTGGTCAAAATTTAAATCCAATTCCATTGGTTCAGAACAGCCTTCACAAAGATTTATTCAGTTCTTTCGAGGAAGAAACTTTCAGAGAGGAAGCAAGAATCAGTTCCACTCCCAAAAAAATTCTAAATGACAATCTAGGCCGTCATCTCCTTTTTTTCCAAACCCCGGACGTCCCGGGTTGTACCCCGGACGCGAACTCTTCGCGTTAGGGTTTTGATCCCGGACGCGTCGGGCTCATGACGTCATAGTTTGTGGAGGCGGAGCCATATCATCTAGCCGAGAATTAGTTCAGCCCCCTGCTTCTGCGCATGCGTGACACTGTTTCGTCGCCTGAGCCCTTCAATGCCCGCCAACTAGAGTTCGATAGATGCCAGTTAGGTTGCTTATTTTTAATAACCTATGCAAAATGCTCTGCTGGATATGCGAATCACAATTACCATTTGTTCACTAAAATAATTTAAATATTTATATGTATAAATATTCGTAAAGAAAATACTATTTACAAGTATTAAAAAGAATACAACTTTACTGCCACCGGCACCATATCCAGATGTAAACAGAGAGAGAGAGAGAGAGAATGATGGAGATAGAGAGAGAAGAGAGAGAGAGAGAGAGAGAGAGAGAGAGAGAGAGAGAGAGAGAGAGAGAGAGATGATGGAGAAAGAGAGAGAGAGAGAATGATGGAGAAAGATGAGGAGAAAGAGAGAGAGAGAGAGAGAAAGAGAGAGAGAGAGAATGATGAGAAAGAGAGAGAGAGAGAGAGAGATGAGAGAGAGAGGAGAGAGATGGAGAGAGAGAGAGAGAGAATGATGGAGAGAGAGAGAGAGAGAGAGAGAGAGATAATTCCATTATTTGCAATGGTTCTTCTTTGTTCATGTGCATGGCAGTGTACAGTAATACAAACTAAATGAAGATAATATCAAGTTCATTCGTAGTGGAATTATAAAATAAGATAAAATAAATTGGCAGCATAATTAGAAACAAAGGTACATGGTTTGGCTTTTCATTTAATTATTAGATGTCATTGACAATTCAAAAGAAACTTTCAATTTCCCTTGGAAAGTAATTGGATTGGAGATGTTTCTAATATTTTGTGGTAGGTTAATCCAGGTACTGAATCCTCGGACCTATTTCTGTGTAATATGTCTGGTTTGAATGCTTGTTTTGTAACCAATTATTTGTAGGTGCATAAATCAGTGAGGATATTCACCCTATATGAATTTATGAATGGATATGCCTATGTCCTGTTGACATTTTGATTGAACGTTTAACCAGTTTCGTGTAGGGGTTATATAGTTATATTTATTTCCGAGAGAGAGAGAGGGAGAGGGAGACAGAGGGGGGTTGTACAGTCATGTTTATGGAAATGAACTTGGAGAGAGAGAGAGAGAGAGTGGGGGAGCAGAGAGAGAGAGAGAGAGTGAGCGAGAAGAGGGAGGAGGAGAGAGAGGAGTGGGAGGAGAGAAGAGGGAGGAGAGAGAGAGGGGGGGTGGCGGGGGAGAGAAGCCGTTAGATTTTATACACGTTCTGGATGTGATTCCCACGGCGCCGTTTCTAGACTGAAGTGTAGGACAGTTTCGCCGCACCTTTTGCGCCCGGCAGTGGCAATCTGTGACGTCACTCCCAAACCTGGGACGTCCGGGGTTTGGAAAAAAAAGGAGATGACGGCCCTAGTTCAAGGCCGCCTGTCGAGATGACAAGATTTCTGGCCTCCAGGGTGACCACACAGAGTAGTTTTTAGAGGTCGTACATGGCCATGGTAACAAACAAAAACAGAAAAAAACGGTGTAAAGTTGCATGTTTTTCAAAAGAGAACAGTGAACATTCATTTCTGTTTAATTTCCCTAGGAATCAACATTCTTTTCTCTCTGGACGATTGGTTTGTTATTGCTCCCTCAGCAGAAGTGTGCACAAGAATGATAGACACAATTCTGTGGATAGGTTCAGAAATTGGTCTCCTTTTCAATCTTCCAAAATCACACCTTGCTGCTACAAGAAATCTTTCTTGGATAGGCCTCCATTGGAATTCTGTAAATCAAATAGTATCTCTTTCAGAAGAGAATCGAAGATGTTGGGTTTTCAAACCTCACAAGAGTCTCAAGGTTTTGGGAAATGGACATACCGTTTCAGACACAAAAGCATAAATGTCAGGGAACTTCAGACAAGCAAATTATCTCTACATTACACCCCGGTATTCTGTCAATGATACACATTCTTTCAGACAATTCAGCAGCAGTACAATGTATCAACCGCCAAGGGTCGACTCAGTCTTAAGAACTTTAAGTTTCAGAGACATTACTGGAACTAGCAACCCAGAAACATTGTTTTCTGAAGGCTTCCCAATTTTTGTGAGAAGAAAATTTGGGGGCAGATGCTTTGCGTAAACAAGTGGAGGGCGTGGAGATTGGTGGAATGAAAGGGGTCTTGGGGAATTTGCTTGCTTGTTTATTGGGCGAGGTAGAAGGTGTGACCCCACTAGAGACCCTGTGCCCCGGGTGCTGAGGGCGGAG